GCAGCCCGAGGCGGGCGGGGAAGCCACCCCTGAGACCTCGTCCGCTCAGCCGCCGTCGGAGGAGGAGCGAGAGCAGTGGCAGCCGTGGACGCAGCTGCGCCTGTCGGGCCACCTTAAGCCGCTGCATTACAATCTGATGCTCACCGCCTTCATGGAGAACTTCACCTTCTCCGGGGAGGTCAACGTGGAGATCGCGTGCCGGAACGCCACCCGCTACGTCGTGCTGCACGCCTCCCGAGTTGCGGTCGAGAAGGTGCAGCTGGCCGAGGACCGCGTGGCCGGGGCGGTTCCCGTGGCCGGCTTTTTCCTCTACCCGCAAACCCAGGTCTTGGTGGTGGTGCTGAATAGGACCCTGGATGCGCAGAGGAATTACAATCTGAAGATCATCTACAACGCCCTGATCGAGAACGAGCTCTTGGGCTTCTTCCGCAGCTCCTACGTGCTCCACGGGGAGAGAAGGTACGGAGGGAGGCGGTGCCCGGCACCGCCCCACCCAGCCAGGCTGCTCTAAACCGCTGGGCAGCGGGCGACCCCGGGGACGCAGTTAGCTTCCGATAACCGGAAGCGAGGGATGGAGGAAGGGAAGGCAGGGTAGGACCATCGCACAGAACTATCCGGGTCTCCCAGATGCCTGGGTTCTCACTGCGCCAACTTCACAACTCACTCACCAGTGCTAAATGCCACCCCTCTCTCCTGGGACTCCCTGCTCTGTCAAAGTTCCTTAGCTAGCCGGGGCACACAGCTCTTTTTTTTTTTTTTTTTTTAAAGGATAGTGTGTAATATGAGCGATGCCAGGCCAGGGTCCCATCAAAAGTTGGCAAGTTTCCGTCGAGGGAAAATGCGTGAGCGCGAGGCCAGGGCAGCCGCGCACCGGCTAAGAGGTCAGGACGGGGTAAGCCGGGCAGAATCCTCCCCTCCCCCACCACTCCCGCTTCTGGCAGGCAGAGCAGAGGGTAGACTTTGGCTTCTTGAAGTTTTCCAAAACTGCAAGTTGAGATACTGAGCAGTAAGAGCCAGTCCTGGTGACAGAGTAAGGGGAATTGATGGCGGCGGCTACCTTTGGCCAACGCCAGCGGGAAATGTTTTTACCAGTGCGGCCAGCTCTCTCCTAACACAGTGACTCGGGTTTGGTCCTCAGTTACTGCCTCTGGAAGTGACTCCAGCGGTGAAAGGGGGAAAAACTAACAGCCAGCCCCTAATGCCTTGTTAGCGAGCACCTTTGATGCTTTTTAGATTTGGGCTGTTTAATGTTTCTTATTTTTTGAGAGGCTGTGGGGCTTTTCACCACTTGTTTAGAGTCCAACAGAACTGGGTTCGAATTCCAGCTGCAACTCTACCTGTGATGAAGGTTTGAGAAAGCTAATGAACTCAGTCACCAGCTTCTGACAGTGACTACCGCTAGTGCTTAATGAGAACCTTATACTAACTCAATTTTACAAGAATCCAATGGGATATGTGTTCTCAACACTCCCTGTTTTACAGATGGGGAAATGGAGGCACTGAGAAGTCAAGTAACTTGTCACATAGTGAGCCTACAAAGCAGGGTCTAGACTCAGGCAGCTTGGCTCCAGAACCCACACTTTCAGTTTTAATTTGGGGATAATACTACTACTATCCTCATGGAATTGCTGCAGGTGTCCATGAGTAAATGCATCGAAAAGCCCTTAACTCTGTGCTTGGCGTAGAGCATGCCCACCGTACTTGTTAGCTGTGATGAGTGTCCCATGGTTGTAAGCCTTCAAGTATATTGTTGAATGAATAAACAAGTGATTTGTGCTTTTTGCCCCAGCCTATTGCATTTAAAATCACTTTGATTAATTAAATGACTATAGGACCAGGGAACAACCAAAATGAACTTAAAAATGAAATCGACCACCTTAGAAGTGGAGGCAGTTTGGCGATTAGTAATGATGCCACTGGGAGAGCCTCCTCTGCTCTCAGGTGAGTCTCACAACAGCAGAAAACTTGGGATCAGAGTAGTCCAGGTCAACTGCTGAGGCCAGCAGGCGTGTTAGTGGAGAGCTGGGACTTCAACTTTGGTTTTCTGATTCCTGTGGACCAGGGCTCATCGTGTCTAGAAACTCTCAGAAGTTGATACTGTGTAAGAAGCTGGGGGAAATTCTGCTGTGTTTTGGGAGAACACAGGAGTTTTATTATTTATAGAGTGTGATGCAGTAACCTCATACAAATAAATTGCCCAATGCTTTAGCCGTTATGTGGTGGTTCAAGCCTCCTATATGTGAATGTATAAATTATTCACTTTCAAACTCCTAAGATCAGATGTGGGTAATTTAAACCCCCTTCCACCACTTTCTCAGATGGATTCTAAAAAATACGGATTAAAAGGAATTTTAAAAACCCACAGTCATATCAGATTTGTGGGGAAAAAGGCAAATTTGCATGTTACGTCAAAATGTCAGTAGTGGGAGTTGCATATCATTACTGATAAATCTTGCTGTGATGAAATAAATAACCTCCAACAAATCCTGTTTTTTGAGTCATGCCAAAATACATTTGGTGGAACTGAGCTTGTTTTGGTCAGTGCTTTCAAATTAATAGGGCTCTTAAAAACACCAGATGGTTCTACTTGACCCATAACTGATTTCATGTAGCCTGGTGCATATTTGTATTCAAACTCTCTTCTTCAGTTTTCCCCAAAGATGTAAATAACTTAGTTCAGAGTTTAACCTAGTGCACATGTGGTTAAACTCTGCGTTCCAACAGGATCAGAAACACAGGATTTGGTGTTTCTGGAGATCCCAGGATGGTTTTATTTCTAAACAGCATCTCAGAGAAAGTCTTTGTTCCTCTCTTTTTCTCCCCACCGTCAATACCAGAGTGAGTATGATAATTTCTGAGATGTTCCTACTGGGATTGATAAGGCAAAGGAAGTTTAATCAACCATTTTACAATTACGCCAACACTACATATATTAAACTTTTTTTTTTGTTTGTTGTTAATCTGGCTACTTGGAGACATTTTAAACAGAAACTTTTTATCAGGAACTCAGCCAGGGTTGGACTTTCATTGGTGATGATTCTGTCCCCCAGGTGCAATGTAAATTGACATTTTTGAACACACTTTCCAAAAGGACACAGACGCAAACTCTACATTTTCATTTGCTTGATGATTAAATATCTTGGTCTTTAGTTAGTCATAATTTTTGCCAATTTAATTATCAGAAAATTTCTGTAATGAAAATAAATATTTAATCTGCCAACGGGGAATCACACTGAGCAACTTGAAATAATTGAAAAGAGCAGTACCACCATTCGGTCCACCTTACGTAGTCTGTGTGGAAACAACTCCTTAATGCCTGGTCAATCTGGTTCTTTGACTCATTCCCCAGAGTGCATGAGGAAAAGAATTTGAGTCAGGTCAGGGCGGGAAAATTTGATGTCACTCTGTGCGCTATACCTTTAATGCCTGAAAGGTTTCATCCTCCATGAGGTTTTGGAGGGGCTGGTTTTGTCCTACAGGGAAGACTTACCTCTCCGGGTTCCCATACTGCAGCAGAGAGAGGTTAGAAGACAGGCTCCCCATTAGAGCCCGAGGCTCCTCCACTTCCGGCAGGTCCCCCACTCTCAGCTGGTCATTTGGCTGAACGGAAATTCACCACTTGTTGAAAATTGCAAACACATAAATTCTCTTAAATTTGAAATGTTTACACACAGCAGTAAATTATCTCCATTAAGCAGAAGATGTACTCACTTCTCCCTCAGGTGGGTGGCTAGCAGGCAGATACAGAGCGTGTGTGTTCACGCCGGGGCACCCTAGGGTGGCACATGCTTGCCTAAAACTCGGTAACATCTTCATTTACCTGAACTGAGCGCCGCTTTGCGGGAGCCAGATGGTGAGCATACCCATGTTCAAAGTAGGGTACCTTAATTTAGATCCAGATGGTCAGATTGAGAGAGGAAATTTACCCAAAGTAAATGAACATTTTATTCACTTTCAAAAGGGAGACGTTTTTCTTTGACAAACGTCGTTTGGGTCTGTGATGTGCCACGGTGACAGAAGACAGAATGAAATAGGAGGTCTTTTCCTAGCAAGGGTTATTTAGAGAGAAACCATGATTTTCAGGTAGGATTGGAGGATAATGTTGTGGTTCTCAAGGAGAATTGCAAAAAAAACCTCCTTTGCAAGCATCTTATGAAAAGCGTTGAGGATTTTATTAGTAGGCATTAGATCATTTGTGGTATTAATGTACATAGTCTGGTGCCTTGTACTTTTTCTGGAATGAGTGAATAATTATGATATTTAATAAGAATAAGAAATCCACCACATTGTTTTTATGTTGAAAGCAGCCTCATTTCTCCCACTCATTCTGTGGAGAAAAAGACATCTTAGGATGAACAGTTTGGAGTCCCTGGCTTTCTGCCCTTCTGTAGAGGGCTCTGAACTGAAAATCTGGGAGAACTGTTTGTTTCTGTGAAAACTTTTTTTTAAATATGATTTCTTAATGGACTTAGCTCATTGTTTTCCTGTCAGGTGCACATAACCATACGGCCAAACTGAGTCCAGTGCTGGATTTTGGTCACAATTCAAAATAACACCAGTAGACTAAATCTAGAAAGTATTGGGAAAAAAAAGTTTTGATGATTTAATAGTGACTCATTCAGGGAGGAAAATCCATACAGTTGGTGTTTATCTTGCTGTGTTTTTTGATCACCCTGGATAATAATAATAAAGGATACCTTATTCGTGAAAGAGTTAAGTGAACAACTCTAAACAGAGCCTATCTGCTCCTGATCGCTTTCAAGCAAAAACAGACCTGCAACTGGTTTTCCTGTGTTTGGTTTGTATAACATGTTTATTTCCTCAAGCAGTTTTTGCCACCGTGTGTGTGGATGGGCTTGGCATGAAAGTACAGGGCAACCATTTAGGGTTGCTCGAGGATGGTGATGACGTTTGGACGATATGATTAGGAGAATAGGGTTCACTTCTTTAAGCATGACTTTAAAGAATGATATAAAAAACGAGTGAGGAAGAAATAGTCTACCTTGAATACATAAGTGTTTTCCATCCTGTAGAGAAGGGCATCCCTCCAATTCCCCAGGCTCATCCTCCAACCCACCAGCAATGGTCATCACCTTTGCGTGTCCTTTACGTCCTTTTGGATTGTCCATGGTGGCTGGGTTCCTCCCGAGGTTTTGAAAGACCCATGCAATCTTGCTTCTTGCCACTAGAGAGTGGGTGCTCTCTGCACCAGACAGAATTTTGCTACATAGAATTTGAGGGACTATAAATAAGAGGCAAAACACTCCTTGCCCTTGCCAGTTTTTTGGACAATACGCAATGAGTCACAAACAGGTGCAGCTGGCTGGCGGTGGTGGGGCTGTGAGGGTAGAGTCAGGCTGGCACGATCTTACTGGGTGGGGCTGCATTGGGGTAAAGGGGGCCAGGCTCCCCATTCCTGCCTTCCCTGCCCCCAGGTGTGCCTTCTCCGTCTCTGCTAA